AATGAGTGGGTTGACAAGATGGAGTTGTATGGTTCAACGACGGCTGTTGAAACTTATGGTGATGGATAGATGGTGAAACCCAATTTAGATTTCTTACCATAATCGACTGACAATCTTTCCAATAAAAGTGATCCTAATCCTGATCCTGTTCCTCCTCCGACTGAGTGGAAGACCAAGAAACCTTAGAGACCTGTGCAGTTATCAGCTAACTTTCTGATTCTGTCTAAGCACAAATCGACAATTTCCTTTCCGATGGTGTAGTGACCTCTGGCGAAGTTGTTGGCAGCATCTTCTTTTCCTGAAATCAATTATTCTGGGTGGAATAATTATCTGTATGTTCCTGTTCTGACTTCATCAATAACTGTTGGTTCCAAATCCAAAAAGACAGCTCTTGGGACGTGCTTTCCTGCACCAGTTTCAGAGAAAAAGGTGTTGAAGGCATCATCTCCTCCTCCGATTGTCTTGTCTGATGGCATTTAACCATCTGGTTGGATTCCGTGTTCAAGACAGAATAATTCCCAACAGGCATTACCAACTTAAATACCTCCTTATCCTACGTGAATAGATATGACTTCTCTCATTTTTAAAGTGTTGTGTGATGAAAACTCTCTAAAAAAATTATTTGAATTTCAGCAGTTACCCCACATTTGAATATCCAAAATATCCTACGACCGGGGTACTTCAAATTTGAATTATAATAAAATACAATAAAATATATAACATAAATTATATATGCTTCAAATTCTAATTCTAACATTTATATCTTAAGCTAGTCAATAAACTCCTTAGTTTAATTTTTCCTAATTTAATGATCCACTAAAAATGCAATAAATCTATTATCTAACTCGATTTATAGAATTAGAAAAATCTATGAATCTGACAACTTAATAAGCTCAAGAAAATGCCAATTTTGCATTAGAACTGTGGGTTAACACAGAAAACTTCCTTAATAAAACTTAGAAACAAATGAAAAACTAATCTATTTTAAACATAATCAATAATTAATAATTTCAAGAAATTATTCCATAAGATTAAGAAGGTTTGTAAGCAACACAATAATATATTGAATAATGGTAAAATCAAACAGATGTATTGTTTATTATATCAATAATAGGATGATAAAAGTATTATTTTATAATATGTTGTTGTAAATATCAATTAAATGATTTAATCAGAAGATCCTACAAAGTATAACCAAACCAATTTAATTGAACATATATCCAATTAAACATTCATTCTTGAATAAAATCAGAAAAATAAAAATACTACTTAATATATTTCTCCTTTAACTTGGTAACATGCAAATGTCAGCAATGAAGAAATGATTTTAGCAAAATTCTTTTATAATACTAAAAACCAAAATTTAACATTTTAAGAAGAATTCGATAAGTTATCCGTTAAAGAAGCTGCTTCTTTACTAAATGCATTTGAGAAATTTTTCATTGATTCTAATAAAAATACAAATACCAATTCAACTACAAATAATATTAATTCAAAGGGAGAATAACCAATTGAATAACCAGAATAACTACCTTAAATTAAATCTAATAATAATAATGATAATCCTATTTACATGATTGTGGTATTTTCTTTAATTTTTATCATATTAATTGGCATCTTGTTTATTCTAAGAAGATACTTAATACAGTAAAAACTGGCTACATTTTAAATGAATGAAGAAATAAATCCTTAAGGTTCATAAGTTTGATTAATTGAATTTGTTTAATTTTTAACTCTAATTTATATTTAATTTAGTATGGATAAGAAGGTGTCTAAGAAACTCAAAAATTTTGAAACTATGAATTGGTTGAAAAACAGATTTAAGAATTAAGTTAGGGAAAAATATATCTTAAATGAAAAAGAACTAAAAGAACAAATAATGATGAAGGCTGTTTTCAAATCAATTGATAGAGACAAATCAAGTTACATTTTATTCTTTAACTTTATTTTTAGAATTCTTAGATAGATCAGAACTCTATGATATGTTCAAACGGTATGGCATTAACATCACTAAAACTAAGCTCAAAGAGTTTTTTAAAAGAATCGATTAAGACGAAGATGGTAAACTCATCATTTAAACTCAGATAAACTCAATTGGAATGACTTTAAATAAGCCTTGTAAAACTAGGAAGCATTGTAAAGTAAGCTTAAATTATTAAATCAATAGTGTTTGCTGAACTTATGAGAAAAGTAAAGGAATCTACAGAAAAACAAGGAAAACAAGAAGAATTAAATTTCATCCCATTAAGTTTTCCCAATATGATTTAATATATGAATTATTGTGTATTAAGAGAAGAACTTATTCAAAAGATTAACTCAAATTAGTTGAATAATCAATAGAAGATTAAATAATGCAAAAACCTCTTATCTTTAGAGGATATATGTTATAATAAAGTAGTTGAATTAAAAGATGATAATGATGAAGAATAGGAAGAAGCTGCTTTTATTAAGACAGCTAAAAAATCATATGATCATCAATAAGTGGCTATTTTAAGAAGGTTGCAAGAAAAAGAATAAACTGAATAACGTCTAGTAAATATGAATTATTATGAATTAGAATCGACTTAGAAAATTAAGTACATCATAGTATTACAGATCTGAAACTGAAAAAGTAAATAGATCATTAAGATAAAAGAGTTGTCAACTTAATTCTGATAAGAATTAAAATACTCAATCAGAATTTAAGTAAATTGATTAATTAATTTTTGAAAATCCTAAAGATCTTCCAATAATAAAAAATGAAATCAAATAAAAAGTACAAATTCCTATGTTAATGTCAGAAAGAATATATGAAAGTGATAACCCTTACAAATACAATCATAAAATTAAAGAAAATAAAAAAGATTCTTCTATTGTTGAAATTCCGAAAGGTTAACACTTTCTTACATAAAATCCAATTGTATTATATATATTTAAATTTTCAAGAGTCTCAGAACATCTGTAAGATTATCAACTAGAAAACAATAAAATTCCCCTAATAGAATTAGAATATTATCTTAAACAGAATTACCCAAACATTCTAATAAAAGATGATAAAGAATTTTAATTTAATTTGTTATAAGAATATTTATTTTCAAATGTTTTTTTAAAATAAATCATTCATTTTTTTAATTTCTGTTAAATATTTATCAACATGTATATCTAAATTCTATTTACTTTTATAAATATCTGATTCTATTTATTTAATATTTGGTTTTAATTTATTAAGAAATATTAATTAATTTTCTGAATAAATTAATTATGAATTCCAAAATTCCTAAAATTATTAATAAAATTTACAAATGTTTTTTAATAACTTTCAAGTTCTACTTTTCTTGCACTAAATTCTTTATCAATTCTATCAAATTCTTAATGTACAAGATCCTTCTTTTTTTAAGTCTCAATACCAGAAACAACAAAAGAAATCTATATATGATAAATACTTTAAAACCCAATCAGCAATATCTAAGAATGCTCTTGTATATTTTGGATCTTAAAATACTTTCTGGAATTAAGGATCAGCTTTCATTTATAGTAATAGGTTTTCTTTTTCTTAATTGACTCCTTTAAATTAAAAATTAGCTAATCTACTCTACATATCACTTCCTTTATCCTAATCAAAACTATTAATTTAATAATTAATTCTTACACTTTTTTCTTAAATTCAATCCAATTAAATTTACTTTGATCTTCATTGTAAACTATTGAAAATAATTTCCCCATAAATTGATCCATTCCTTAAGGTAACTGACCAATCTTATTTAACTCTTTAATGTCAATCTACCGTTATAAATATTCAATACCTTTGAACAAGTTTCTTTCATTGCAGTAGAAATTGAGTCAATTGCTTTTTAGATAGCAGATAATTCATCTTTCTTTCCTTTTTTATAAGTCTCTGCTTTTTTCATTTTATCCTATTTATAGAACTATCTAAAACTTATTCTGATTATATCTTATCAATTAACTATTTAACAGTCTTTGAAATAGCTGTCTTTTACTCCAAGATTAATTCCTCTAACTAATCGCTCTCTTCATTTACTCTATTTCTATATAAATTGTATACTTTTTAAAATCATTTAATTCCTATTGCAAATAATTTTCAGTCTACAAGAGATGATTTACTAGTGCTGGTGAATATGTTTGCTTCAAGTAATCGTGAAGAATTTGACTCTTTATTTCATTTTGCTAAATAACAACCTCCATAATTCAGAATTTTAATAATAAAAGTTCTAATTTTAGAATTGTTATCAATTATATAATAATAAATTTTTTAATTAACTCCTAATTGTTTATTAATAAATATACTTTACTATAAATATATGTATCTTCAAAAATTGTTATTATTTTGTAATACTATTTTGTTTATTAATTCATTTATTTACCTTAATATCTGAATAATAATTAAAAAGATTAAAAATAATTTAATATTCATTATTTATTTATTTGATACTAGAATATTATGTGTATATTTTTTAATATCTTTAAAGAATATCTGATTGATTTATTAATAAATATCCCAAATATTTAGATTATATTAAAATATATAGTAGTATTTAAATCAACTAATTAAGTATAGTAACATAAGTAGTTTATATAAATAAATGATATTTTAATTTGATTTAGGAAGTAAAATAAATGATTACAATAAATTAAATATAACAATTAGATCATTACTATGATATTAGAAGATTTAAAGAGAATGAGATTTATAATAATTTGAACTTAAAAAGTAATTAGGATTAATGAAAAAGTGATTTTAATAAGATTAATAATATTATGTATATGATATTAGTAGATAAATAATGTATATGTATGTAAAAGTAAGAAATTTAGTTGAGAGAGAATGTAGGAATTAATATATAAAATATTAATATATTTTAAATCTTTAATTTAAAATGGTTAAGATGAATGTTCTCAATGATTGTCTTCGTTCAATTGTTAATGCTGAAAGGTATTATAAATTATTTAATTTGAAAAGACAAGGAAGAAAATAAGTATTAATTAGACCAACATCAAAATTAGTAGTGAAATTCTTACAAGTGATGTAGAGACACGGATATATAGGTGAGTTTGAAATTGTTGATGATCATAGAAGTGGAAAAATTGTAGTAGAATTATTGGGTACAATATTTCATTTATTTAAGGACGCATTAATAAATGTGGAGTCATCTCACCTCGTTATGATGTGACCTTAGGCGAATTTGAGAGATGGGCAAATAACATTTTACCAGCTAGACAATTTGGATGCGTTGTGTTAACCACTAATGTTGGTATTCTTACTCATGAAGAGGCTAGATAAAGACATATTGGAGGTAAAATCCTTGGTTTCTTCTATTGATTTTATAACAATGTACATTCATAAAAATACAATATAAATAATTAAATAAGTAGTGTTGTCACAAGAGCAAGTTAAAAATTATTAGATTTAAGCTTTTAGGTAATGGAAAAGATTATAAAGGTTAACATATAACTAAAAATACTTAAGTAGAATACAAGAATAGAAAAGCTTATGAATTAAACAATTATTTTAAATGGCTAGAATATATTTGTTACAATAAGAGAATATCATATATGTGTGATCTAATGTAAATGAAGAATCATAAATATAATATAATTTATGTGAAATGATTATCTTTAAGATATTTGAGCATAAAAAAGGGATCTAATAAATTAATTATTACTAATCTTGTTTGAAGATATTTTAATTATATTGTGAGAAAGGTCAAGTTAAAAAGAAATAAAAAATATATTGATTTATGATAAATTAAAGATTAGAAGGAATTCTAATAAGATAATAGAGTATGAATTACTAATTAATTAAAATGTAAGAACATTATTAAATACATATTATGCTTAATTAATATATTTGTATTTATATGATGAAACTTAGTAGTATTCTTAATAATTAGCATATATCAATTCAAATAATCAATAATTTATTAATCTAATAATCTTTTTAGGGATAACAATAGAAGATATAAATTAATTTATATTGATTAAATAACAATTTTATTTGATTATTACATATTTAATATTTTAAATACTAAATTAGTTATTAATCATTTAATTTATCCTCCATTAGAACCAGTTAATCTAGTTGTACTTCCTTTTACTTTCTTTTTGAATAATTTATCATCTTCATCTTGTTTATCATCATCTTAACCTTAAGCATAAACCATTTAATCCATATCAGCCATTTCCATGATATCATTAACTTTTTATTTAAAATAGTCATTCTAATAATATAATGTATTTGATAATGATGGATCTGTGTAATTTTCCCAATAAGCTTTATCATTTTTCTCCAAACAATTATCTTTTCTAACTTTATAGACTAAATCATTTCCTTCAATTTGCATTAATGAAAAAGGGAAAACACTTTTAGAATTAATTGGTTGCTATTGATGTTGTATTTTATAAATTGGAAATGAATCAGATAGAACCTAATCAAAAGTTAATTAATATTTTCTAGCCTCTAAATATAAAGTAGCTAAAAATCTAGCAACACTTTCAGATTTTTCATCAGGAGGTTCTTGAGGAATCACAGGAATAGGTGGTGGAACAATAGGTGGTTATACAATAGGTGGTGGTGGTTATACAATAGGTTTTTCTTCATATTTTTGTTTTTCTATAATTAAATCTTCAATTTATTTTTCATATCTAGCTATTTAATCTTCTTTTCTTAATTTATCTCTTTTTTAAATTTCATTCTACTCTTTCCAATGTAAAATTTCTTTTGTAATATGATCAAACATCTCTTCAGACTTTTCTACTATATTAATAGTGCATTTTTCAGAACAATCTCTAACAAAACAATCTTTAGGCCATTATTTAATTTCTGAATTATTATCTTTTTCTCTTTTAGATTAATCCAAAAATTCTTTTATGAATTTACAAAAATTAAATCTTCTATCAATTTCCATAGCCTTTTCTCTTTATAAAGTTTAATCAATCAAATTTGAAACCATTAATAGATCTTTCTTTAACATAACAATCTTCTATCCTACATTCTCCATTTCTATTACACCTCTTGTGTTTTAAAGATTGCCTCGTCTTAATTTCATAGTTCTATCCATAGGTTATGAACGAGGACGAAAGGCTAGATGAGGATTATTGTCTTCATAATAGGGATGCATAAGATATCTAGTTAGAGAGCGAGAGAAATGTTATCTCTATTTTTTAAAGTAGGCATATAATAATTCCTAAGTAGATTACATTTATATATTAATTGTCTTGGGTAAAGGTAATTTTAACTTAAGAAATTCTGTAAAGTCAATTTCTACATCTTTTCCACTTTTTTAGTCAAGAAGTGCTAAATATTATTCAAAGTCTTCAATATGAACAGGATGTTATAGTTTTTCATTGATTGTTGATAGGAAATGAATATCCTCTTCAGTTAATTCATAAGTTGTGCCATCTGGATATACAGGAGCCTTATATGAGATGTAATCTTCACGACATTTAGCAGGAAGTTGTGATTTTAATGTGGGCTCCTCAAATTATTTAGGTCTAAATAATATTGAGTATAATATAAAAATAAATATGGCGGGTATAGAGAAGCAAGTTGTTACAAACAACAATCAAGTAGTATGAAAATGTTATACTTGCTTCTTATAAGTAATTGATTGAATATATGCAATTTACTTTTCTTTTAAGAGTTGATCAGGAGTAATGATTTATTCTGTATTTTTTATGTCAGCTTCTTGTCCTTCTGCATTAGTGAATGCTTCTAAACTGTTAGAGATCAGTACTGGTTTTGTTGGATCGATCTGTCTTGGTCTTGATTTCATTTCTTTGGTGCCCAATCGATTAATAATTAAAGAAACTTGAATATATAGGAAGATACTATCCCAAGGAAAACCAAAAACATTACAAATCAAACTAAAAACACTCTAAACACCTTCAAAAACTAATTCTCATTCCTCTTTTCCACTCATTAGAAAATTCCTCATAAGTATGCCCAAACCTTATCAATCTCTCCTAAATTCCAAAATCTTCATCTTAGAACCCTCTATAAGTTCATTCTGATATTCTCAAACATAACACAAACCATACAGAGACTCTCATTATTATAATTATTAATCAACTTAATTGAAATTGTTGAAAAATGTGATGATTTTTTCAACTTTCATTTCACTAAAGATCATATAAAACTATCATTTATTTATATCTAACTAACAGTAAATAATATTCATCTTCAAATCCAACCTTTTCATATGTATTTATAGATAAAACTCTTAATTCCTTTTACTTAGTACACTTAAGTTTTTTTCATTTGAGATTAAAGAACAAATTATCTAAATCAAATTCATGTGATAATTCCAAATTGTTATTCAAACTCTTTATGATGAAACTCAAATTGGATTTCCATATTAGAATCACATTCTTAATTTTTACAATTACACAAACTATATAATTCTTCAAATTCATTTAAACTTTTTTTGAATTGATAAACCTATTGATTTTTGATTCCACTTAGGATATATTGATAATTCAGTAATGATTAGCATATGTTATTAATCATTCATTTCTCTCAAAATTTTATCTACATATATTTGAAAATTAACAAATGAATTTAGTCAAATGAAAAAATATTAATATAAGAGAGAGAATACATCTCTTTCAATAACATCATTCAAATTTAGAAGATATATCTATTTTTTTTATCTCCCCATTATACCAATCTTTTTTTTAACAATTTATCATTACTACATTCAAGTACTTAATGGTTCCAGCTTCATTTATTATACTACGTTACATGTATAACAATCATGTCTATAAATAAGAATTAAATTATCATAAGCAAATGTATAAGTCTAATAAAATAAAGAAATAATATATTAATCTTAAAATTTGTTATTCATATTACATTTTTAAGAAAAATATTAAATAAAATAATGAAACAATAATAATTTATTATTTCAACTTCATTCTGCTAATAGGGGTTGTTCTAAATCTGAAGTGACATCATTGTCGTTCTTTTTAGCTATTTTTCTTATGTCTAATTTTTCATCTTCTTAAAATAATTGAGGATTAGATAATTTAAGTTAAGATTCAATCAAAGCTATTGTTGCTCTATCATTTGAAGTATAAATGATCTATTCTAAATAAGTTTATTCAATCATAAATTGTTTAAATGAATGTATTAAACTTTATACAATTACCTAGATATCTATATTTATATTAATATACTTATCTTGGATATCCAAAATATCTAACACCCACTTCATCTATTACAATTTATTTTAAAGATGATTCTTTAATTTATTTTGCCAATTTATTAAAAGCAACCTCAATAATTTTGTTCTCATTAAATTAACCACCTCTCCACATTGGTATACAAATCAAAAAGATCTTCTTTTCTTTTATATTAATTTAATAACAATCTCCATATTAAAATGCTCCATCATTTTCTTTTAAACAATCTTAAACAGTAGCATTAATTATTTAATTTGAAAATAAAGGTGAAAGTCCTTTTGTACTTACAGCAAATATATTGCCATCAATTTTAGAGGAATCACCTTAAGAATAGACAACTTTAACTTTAGTTTTAGTATTAATAATGTCAACCCTATTTGGATTCCAATTATCTGGTAACTCACTTTGTTTTCTATCTTTAACACTTTCTTCATCTTTACAACATTAACAACCCATATATTTATGAATTTAATTATATCATATATTTTCAAACTCAATTTTTATTGGAAATATCTCTTCAGGTAATACAGAATGGATATATTTATTGGTAATTCCTACTCTTTTTGTTTATTGTTTTTAGATAGTTTTCTACTATTATTCTGGTTATTCAAGAGAAGCCTTATATTATAAATTAGCTTCTTTAATAGCTTATAATTTCATTTTGCTATTGATTACTTAAATCTCTTTAATGTGATTTGATTATTCTTTAACTTATTGTATATGTTAATAGGATATTTATTATTATTTCTTCTAATATATACGAAGTAAATGTCTATCACCTTATCTGCTAATAAGATTTTAGCCAATATTGAAATCCTAATAAAAAGATCTTTCTTGTTGAATCTATAATTTAACTTATCTTTTTTCTTAATTTTACTTTTTTATTTATTATCTTTATTAATTTTATCTATCTTCCCAATATTACATTTATTTAGATATATCTTGTTAATTATTTTATCTTATTCCACTATTGCTTAAATTAAAACTTTATGAATGCAAGAATGTTGGTAATTCAACTTACATTGTTTATTTTTTGTTCATAACAGACTTAGTTCTAAGATGCTATCGTGTAGGATTAGTAACTAATCTTAATCTTTATTGTTATCTTTCTACATTGCTGTTTTCTTATTCAAAACTGTCCTATTGAAATATATAAGTTTGAAGGGCAGTTTTAGGTTTATCAGTTTAAGTAATTGTTCTTACATTAGTTGAAGCAGTAGGACAGTTTTATTTGATTTAAGTATGAGAATTTTAATTATATTACTTTTTTATTGAACTAAAAAAAAGACAAGTTGAAATTTGTTCACATCCTGGTAATTTTGAAATGTTTTTTCTTTTCTTAGTTTTTTAATCAATTCCATTTTTATAAAATCTAACTTCAACTTCATTTGTTGTTTTATCAGATAAAAATGTTGATAACCATATAGATGGTTTAGATGGTATTTCACAATTTTCTACACTTTAAGTTTATATTTAAATTAAATAGGTTTTAATAAGTAATTCATCTTTTTGTTTCACTATTTATGTTTATTCTAATAATTCATTTTCTTAGTATAATTATACAAAACATTAATTTTTAAAAGAATATGTATATAGTGCCAATAATAATAGTCTTAATTTTAATTAATCATTGTATGGGAATGTAATTTTCATCCATTTTTGATTAAATAAATTTTTAATTTCACTTTATGTTTCAAAATGTAATAAATGATATATATCACAATTCTCTATTAGAGCAAATATCTCTTATTACTCATCATCCTATTATATAATTTATTTCTTTAACCAAATAGGTATAATATTTTTCTTTGGATATTATTCAAGAATTGCTTAGAATTTATAATTCATTAAACTTAATTTAGATTTTTATTCAAGAAACTGTAACTTAGATTAACACTTACTTAATTGTACATATATTGAATAATTTAAATATAAAACATTTTATGTGATTTGTTTAAGTCTATAACCTATTATCTTAAAAAAATTATTTCTATGATGCATTTTCAAATCCTTAAACCATTTTTATAATATCAAAAGAGATCTTTCTTTTACTAAAATATTAATTATAGCTTATAATGTTTTCCCATTTTTCTTTACATCTTAATAAGCTCTAAATTATCGTTAAATCTTCAATGCAGCTACTGCCTCTTTTAATTACTTCTCAAATATTGTTATAAACACTTATGATGGATGATCCTTATTATGCAATATTATACACTTAATTATCAAAGATAATAGTTCTTTACTTAAATTTATTACATATAATTATCTATATTCTCTTTATTGAAATTTGTTAATTTATTTTAAACAATTCTCATATTTAATTTTATCTTACTTTGGTAATTTGTACATAATAAAATATGGTTTTCTAGCAGGCATTAATTCATCATATTTTTATAAATAGGAATAAGCATGTACATCTTATGAATATTTACTTACTGATGTCCATTTTCTTATTATACTTAATTTCAATTATTATAAACAACAACTTATTTTAGTTAAAGAAGCAGGATATGTAAGCATATTCTTAAAATAAATAGGATTATTATATAAATTGATTTAATTAGGTAATCTATATGTGAAGACCTCTGAATCATAAATCTTATTAGGCTTTTAAAAATCTTCATACAAAAAAGGAGTCTAATCAATAATTGATCTGATTTCAGGTTTATTACTAAGTCTATTTAAAATTTATTTGAATAAATTTAATTATTCTTTATAGAAATAAAGTCTATGTATACTTCCAATACATTCAAGTTATTTTTTTTAATTTTACTAAAAGAATTTTAATGATCTGTAAATAATTCTAGCACTCTTTTATTCTTTAATTATCTTGCCTTTTCTTTATCTATAATTTTAAACCATTACTTTAACTTTCTCAAATTATGTACTATATTAATGTGCTAATAGTTAATTAAGATCCTTTTTATTCTTAGTAAATGTTATCCAATGTTTAACTGCTTGTTTTATAAATGCTCTAAATATAAATTACTATTTACTGTATTTTCATCTATTTTATAACAATGTTTTTGAACTTTCTTCTTGTTATAAAACTTTTTATATATCTTTAGATAGTTATAATGACAGAACATTTTTGCCAAATCTTCCTGATCACATCTAATTCTTACCAAACTAATATAACTATTTGAGATTAATCCTTTAATTCTTTTGGAGTACTTATGATAGGCCATGGAAGACGACTCTTCTCTATAGATTACTTTAATTTTAATTCTTTGTATTTCTCTTCATCAGTTATTGCATTAAAGTCGAATGCCCAAAGAGATTTCATATATGATATCACTTATCTTCTTAATGAACATTGAGCTGAAACTGGATTTAAGAATAGAGTGAGATAATTTAAATGATTGCATCCTAAGATTGGTTCTACTGAAAGTGAAGTGATCTAATTCTAATGTAAGTATAGAATCCTTAAATTCGTTAATTTTTTGAGATTTGGAATTAGGGTTAGATTGCAATTTGACAAATCCAATTTAAGTAGGTTAGTGCATTTATATACTTGATCTAATTGATTTTTATTAAGAGAAGTTCCAGTTAACAATAAAACTTTAACATCAGCTGGTACTTGGATGTAAAAAAAATCTGTCATTTAATTTATATATATATATTAATATACATTTAGGGATTATATTTTATAAAATAATAATATATAAAATGGACACACAACAAGATCAATAATTAAAAAAGAATCAATTGAAATTCCCTGTTTCTAAAGTGAAAAAGATTGTATAGGAAAATTAAGATGTTGGTAAAATCAACAATGTAGTTCCTTATGTATTAAGTATTACTTGAGTGTTATCGAAAGCAAAATCACTTGAATTATTTTTATCAGACATCCTTTCAAAATGCAAAGAAACTTTGAAAGATAGGAAACTCAATAAAGCCACACCTGGTTTATTGTAAAAATGATATTAAATAAAAGGAAGATAGTTTTATAGGAATCTCAATACGATTTCATGAAGGATTATGCTTCAAAATTACCTGATTTGGAGGAAAGTAAAAAGAAGAAAAAAGGTTTACAATTAGATGAATAGAGTGATGAAGTGGTTAAGAAACGTAAAGGGAATGATGAGTTTGAAAAAGTAGAAAAGAAAGTAGGAGGACGAAAATCAAAAAGAGTTCGAAGATAATAATCGGATGATGATTATGATGAAGATGATTGAATTTAAATTTATTTAATGGGGGAGAAAAGAATCGACAAATATCTCTTCAATCCTAAAGATCTTATCGGAGAAGGTTCATATGCTCAAGTGTTCAGAGGACGAGAGGAGAAGACAGGAGTCAAAGTGGCCATTAAAGTATTGAACAAATCAGTCATCAATGCGTATAAATATTTGACAAATGTTAAGCGATGATTATTTAAGAGAAGGTTTGATATCAGAAATCAAAGTAATGCAGAAATTGAAGAGTCCCAATATTGTACAACTTATGGATGTAATGGAAACTAATAACAATTATTATATAATTCAAGAATATTGTGATAGTGGAGATTTAGATAAAATGATAGAAAAGTATCAATATACAATAATCTAGTTATGTATCATAAAAAAAGACTATGCCTGAAAAAGATGCTGTCAAATTTATGATTGATATTTTAAATGGATTTATTTAGTTAATTAAAAATGGAATCATTCATAGAGATCTTAAACCTGCCAATATACTAATAGATAAAGGAGTATACATATTAAAATTATTTAGACATTCAAATTGGCAGATTTTGGATTTGCAAAATGTGTAGATAATTTTAAAAAGGATATGTTAGCATCATTAGTAGGAACACCACTTTATATGTCTCCTCAAATTTTGGATAACAAGAAATACACTTCAAAAACAGATATTTGGAGCATAGCATTTATTTTTTATGAAGCATTATTTGGCAAAAGTATTTCTTTTACTAATTATATTCCTTTAGCTCCCTGGACTGCTAGATCACCATAAGAATTACTTAAAAATATTAGAAATCAACCTTTACAATTTAAAGGACCATAAATTTCAAAAGAAGCTTAAGAATTCTTAACAGGATGTTTATAAGCTGAAGAAAAAGATAGATTTTCATGGGATGATATCTACAGACATCCACTTTTTAAAGGACATTTTACAGACTTCATAAAAAATGTTAGTATTCTTGAAGATAAAGCAACTTATTTAATTAATGATATAAGATAAATGATTATTAAAGAATAATTAGATATTGGAGAATTGTTTGCAGAATTAGATATGACTAAAGATAAAGCATTAAATGTAAATGAACTTGGAAAATTCTTAACAAGAGTTGATAAAAATTTGACAAGAGAAGAAATTGAATATATATTTAATAAATTTGATGATGATGGAAATAATTTAATTGAATTTAATGAATTTAAAAAATGGTTAGAAGAAAATGATGTAACTATAAATTATTATTTTATTTATAGTGTAGAATGACTGCTTCAGAGGTTAGTAGAACTAAAAAGAAGGTTAGTATTCTTTTGAAACCTTAATAAGATATTTAAGTTGGGTCACTTGATGATAGAGCTAGAATTGTTATTGAAAAATTGAAAACATCAATTGTTAAATATAATATCAATCTTTTGGATTTATTTAATAAAGTAAATTTATTTTTTTAATTTAAGTATGATAAATCAGCAAATCATGAGCTGGATGTATTAGAATTGGGCAAATTGTTAAAACGTATAGATTCTTCTGTGACAGATGAGGAATGTAAATCCATTTTTAGTTTTTTTGATCACAATAAAGATGGATCAGTATCATTCAATGAATTCGAATTTGTGTTGAAAGAATGCTTAGTTAAATAAAAGATAAAACAACAGCAATGATTTATTTATCTATCATAAAATATTAATATGAAAGTAATTTATATAATCGATTCTAATTTTAATCTTATACTGTAAATAAAAGTCAACTTATTAATATTCTTGTTATATATTGTGTATAACCAAAATATCTCTTATAAAAAGAACATAATATTATCACTTGTTTATTGATACTATAATAATAAATAAGATTTAATTTTCAAATCTATTTAAATATTTCTATTTCTAATTTCTCATTTTTTATAGAAAAGGTTACAAAGTTTAACAAAATTGAAGACATAACTTTGTTAGTAAAATTTAGTCTTGATCTGCTTTTCTTCTCACTATAAAAACAAAATGCCAACAGAATCTGATAGACGTTATTTGTGATCTAATAAAACATTACTAAAAATAATCCACTGATAAAATTGATCAAAATATCAAATACTGGGATAATGATAATGAAAACATTATTTTGAGTAAAATCATATTTGGTTTACTGTGGAATCTAGAAAACTTGATATTTAATAATTAATGTTAGTTGTCCAATGTGATTAGATATAATCCATGCATAGAAGATTATCTTATAAGGTTATATAAAATGAAGAATTGTTATATTTATATTAAATAGGCTAAGTGTATTATATATTTGTTAAACTAATTACATAAATTATTTATTAGCTCCAATAAAATATTGTTATTCACCTTGTCTATTGGAGTTGAGATCCAATCTTTATACAAATAGAGGAAAAATGAGAATTATTGTGATATTTTATTAATAAAATGGGTATAATTCATGCTCCTAATCTTTAAAAAATTTCTTAAATATAGCTTTATAGAGAAAGCTAGACAAAAACAAATTAAAAAGAAGTTCAAAAAATCTATGAACAGACACTTTTTTTTTGCTCCAAATCTTGAAAATCAACAATAATTCAAATTTTAAATAAAAAGATTTTAACATAAATAGAATTCCTATGAAGAGAGCGAAAAATTAAAGAAGGAGATTTATTCAATCATAAGAGCAATTCAAAGAGCAGGGAAGTAGATAAATATAGCTCGCTATTTAAAATATAAGAAAGTTTAAATAAAAGTTAGAGAGCAAGAAGTGGAGTACATTTTAAAGCTCTTGACATTTGGATCAGTAGAATAAATTATACTCATTTTATTAATAAATATAATAGTAATTATCATCTTCCATCTTAGTATCTGGTAAGACGATCCCATATTTTCTAACAAATTTTTTTGTACAATAGCTATAGAATTCAATTTCATAATTTCTTACACTTTACATTGATTATCTAATTAAGATCTACAAATATATTTGATTTTATTACTACATAAATCAAGGAATTGATAAGATAATTCTTATCGCAAATCCATATTTAATACTTAAAGTGTATCTATTTTCATAAACTATTAAAATACTTACTTATGCAATTTTTAAGATACTTTATTGGCATAGAGTATGATATACTCAATAAAAGATATGATTTTGAAAATTAAATAGTTTTATTTCATAAATCAATAAACTCACTAAACATGATTAGATAATATTCTTAATCTTATTATTTAAGTGAGATAGTTTCTTATTTTATTGCATTCAATTTATAAAGATAATTTAGATTTTTTTCAATATTAATTATTAATCAATATTATATAATTATTGAAAAAAAACAATATTTATAATACAGAATATATTAATAGTGTGGGTAATGGTTGGAATATAGCACAGAAAGGTTGTATATTATTGATTGTATGTATATATGTATTTTTTATTTGGAATTATTTATATTATCACTTAATAAAAATAATTAACGAAATGAGTCAATCAACAGCAAAAAACTTAAGGGATTTGTTGATTAAACAACAACTCAATAGTAAAATAAAATTTAAAGGGGAACCTGTCAATAAAATACAACCAAATAGAAAATAATCTGGGAATTGGGATAAAAAAGTGGATATATCTCAATGCTCTTGCAATTAAAAGAATTGCACAATTTGTATGAAGAAAAGAGTTATGATTAATGCTTCTCCTCTATTAAAAGTTAAAGTAGCAACTAAAAATCAAGCTTGTGATCAAGATAGTAGAAGAGAAATTAAAGTAACAAGTTCAGTTTCTGCACATCAATCTCCAAACCGTGAGAAATAGTATTAAATGCAATAAATGTTCTTACAAAAGTAATTACAAAGTCATTTACAACAATTACAAGAATCTCGTCCTTAATCTAGATAAGCTCCTAAAGAATAAAGCAAAAAGCCATAATTTTATCATAACATGGAAAATTTTTTAAATAACTATTATCAAAAGGGAAATTTAAGTAATTCATAGTTGTATGAGAACAGTTATAATGTTAAGTCTAAAGTCATTCCAAAAAGAATTGAATCAAAAAGTCATGTCCTTAGCAATACATAAACATCTTTTAAGTTGAAACTCAATCAATAAGGTCCTAAATTTTCAGCTGTATCTTATTTCATAATAAATTAGATTATCAATTCTGGATTAGTTGAATCAGCTCCAAATTCTCCAAATAATCATGAAAATTCTACAAAGAGTAAAATAAATCCAAATGATTCAATCTCGAAAAGTAAAATAAATTAAAATGATTCGAAATCTAGTGAAATAAGAAGAAAATCTACAGGTGAAATCTCAGAAAAAACTCAAGTTCTCGGTTTAAAAATAGATGATTAAGTAGGTAGATTACATTTTAAATTTTTATATGTAATTGGAAAAGGAGGTTTCGGAAGAGTTTGGAGAGTTGAAATGAAAAAAAATAAAAAATTATTCGCATTAAAAGAAATGTCTAAGGCAAAAGTAATATAAAAAAGAAGTGTTAATTCAGTTTTAAATGAAAAATATCTTTTAGAACATTTACATCATCCTTTTTTAGTTAATATGTGGTATGCATTTTAAGATAGAGAAAATTTATTTTTAATTATAGATTTATTAACAGGTGGAGATCTCAGATTTCATTTAGGTAAAATGAGAAGATTTAGTGAAGCATAAACAAGTATATATAAGTAATAATTATTTAAGAATTTTTTGTTGCTTGTATTTTATTGGCTTTAACTTATCTACATTAAAATGGAATTATTCATAGAGATCTTAAACCTGAAAATTTAGTATTAGATGAAGATGGTTATATGAGATTGACAGATTTAGGTATTGCTCGAATGAATAAGGGAAATAATGCTGGAGATACTTCAGGAACACCTGGATATATGGCTCCAGAAGTTATGTGTAGAATGGATCACTCTGTTGTGGCTGATTATTATGCATTAGGTGTTATTACATATGAATTAATGCTTGGAAGAAGGCCATATAATGGAAGAACTCGATAGGATATAAGAGAATAAATATTAGCTAAACAAGTTTAAGTTAAAAAGGAAGAATTACCTCTAGGATGGAGTGAAAATTCCCTTGATTTTGTGAATTAGGTACAAAATTTTATAAATTTTTTAGTTAATTCTAAGAAAACCAGAAAAAAGGTTAGGTAGTAATGGAATTGAAGAAATTTTACATCATTCTTGGTTAAAAGGTTACCCTTGGGATGATTTATTAAAAAAGAAAGTTTCTGCATTATATGTACCTGGGGTATTAAATCATTTTAATTAAAGGCTGTTGATGATAATTTTGATTTCTAAAATCAAATTTCAGAAGAAACACAATTAAATGATGAATAATTATTAGAAAATTAAACTCTATTAAGAAGAGATACTGTTCAATGTAAAATAAATTAATAAATAAATTAGCGTTATTTGAAGGATATCATTATGACATAGAACTAAAGAATATTTAACATCAATAGACTTAAAAGAATCATTCACAAAGAAAATCATAACCTGTTTCTCCTGAAAAAAAAGTATGATGTCAAAAATATATTATTATTGATATTAATTTTGAACAAACTTAAAATATTAAGTTATATAATTTTAAATGAAAGGATACATATTATTTTTTTTCAGAAATCTTAAATTTCATAATTATTTTTATTGGCAATCAAAATTGAAACATTCTCCTTATTAATTATTTAAATAATGCTGATTAAAGTTTAAAAAATCAAGTAGTTTATATTGACTTATTTAAATTGAATTTTTAAGTAAATGATATTGATTAAAGATTTTAATGATACTTTTATAAATTAGAAAATAATATTCTAATCTTAAAAATATACAACTTATATTTTTAGATTTTTATTGACTTTTGCAATTACTTTGTAAGAATCTTATTGATCTTTTTTAATTTTTATTAGCTGTTTATACACTATCAGTTATTTTACCCATATTATTTTTTCATTATTTAATTCTAAATGGTTTTCAACTAAAAAGTATAAATAGTTTAAAAAGCTTAAATTAAATATTTATCTAATTTATTAAGTGATCATTTTCATTGTAAAATAATTTTAGCTATTTATGGATCAATATGTTTATTAAAGTTAAAAGCAAGATTGTGGTTATTATTTATAATTAGTAAGTATATAATTATTTTGCTTTTTCTATTAATTCATTTCATCATGTATTAATTATAGATTTCAATTTATAAGATAATATGTTTGATATCTGTATTGAGTTATATGTGAAGTGAAATCAATCAGAGATAATTTATTAACATTTGATTTAATTATTAATATATATATTACAGTTAATGAACAAGTCAAGGGATTGGAATATTGTAGATGATGAATTAAATCGAAAATTAAAATAGTTATATGAAATAAGATCATAATTAGATGATTAATCTACTGAGCAGCTACTTTAAAATAAGGATTAAAATTAGGGTATGCATAATCTAATTCAAATTTAGAGTATAATAGCGATGTTAATTATTATAAGGAATTTTGGAGATATTACATACTAAATGAGATGGCTATAAAAAAAGTTAATGAACTTCATTCTTAAAATTAAAAATTACATGAATTAATAGGAGATATAGATGTATTTCTAAGTGATATTATTAAGAAATTATAATAAGAATTGCATATTGCTCTAAGTTATCGTCATAAAAAGAAAAATAGAAGGACTTCATAAGAGATTGAGAAGAGTTATATTTGTCCTTATGAAAAATGCAATAAATAGTATGGAAGTGATGTTTCTTTGAATTTGCATATCAAATTGAAACATGATGGAGGTAATAAAACTGACAGAGAAAAGTTTGCTGTAAAAACATTTACTATTCTTTTAATTAGAAAATGATTATTGAGGCTCAGTAGAATGGAGAAACTATAACAGATCTAAATATTAATATCAAATTCCCTCCTGGTTATTTAGATGTAATAATTCAAATCAATCTATAGTAATTTAAGAATCAATTTTTGAATACATAGTAAAATTAGTTAAATTCAGAAAGAAAGTCAATCGAATAAGATTGAAATTAAATATATTTATTTTTGTTTTTAATTTCAAAATATCCATTTCTACTTATTTCAAAGACTATTCTTAATTATATTTATTTTATCTATTTAAAATGGTATTTTAAAAACAATTTTAATAATAATTTATTAATAGGATATTAAGGGATTATAATTATATTACAAATAATAACGAATGGATTCTAAATAAATCTAATCAATCAATATTTAATGATTGATTATAATAATAATCATAATCAAATTAATAAACTTGAATTTACTTAAATAATTTTGAATCAAAGTAATTAAATTTAAAAATTGAAGTATTATCATTCCTATTGACTAATAATATCCATTTATATATTATTATTTATATTAAAATAATAAGAATGGTTCCTGAATTTATAATTTTATAGAAAATTATCTAAATATTATTAATATTCTCATCAAATTTTTAATGATTATTAATTTAATTATTCAAAATAATGATGTTAAAATAAATATTTTTGTAATGGAAAAGACTAACACAAATATCAATGCTAATAAACTAAATGAAAATTGAAAAAAGTTTAAAGTAAAAACATGATAAAATAAAGAAACATTTTCTATAAGTTCTCATGATAAATGCAGAATAGAAAAGATAATTAAAAGTGATTTAAATAAGAAATAATTATAAATTTATGAAAGCATAATTGTTTAATTGGCATCTTGCTTTGATGAGAAAATATAGAATGAATGAAATTTGTCATTTTGTTAAAAATAAATATAAAAGGAAATTATAAAACAAAGTAGTTAAATTACTAATTGATTATTCTTAAGAGAGATAATATAAACGTAAAAAATTGATAAAAGCAGATAATTATTATAATAATAGAATATTGAATAAATCATTCAAGGCTCTACGTATTAATGAAAAGTAAAGCAAATAAGAATTTTTAGAAAAAAGAAAAATGATTGATGAAAAAGATTAATAATTGCTTAATAATTAAAAAGAACTATAAAAGAAGTTAATGGCTGATGCATTTCACTCTTCAAAATTAATGTTGAAATCCTTTCTTAATTGGAAAAAGTATATATTTTACTAAGATAAATAAGACTTTTACTTTAGTTATAAACAAAATATAGACAATTGTGTAATTAAATAATAGGAATTGCAATCTGAATAAGTAAAAATAAATAAAAATACAGTTAGTAAATCTGAATATTGTATTATGCTTGAATATAAGATCTAATTTTATTAAAAGCATTAAGATTAATTAACTAATTTTTAAAAAGAGATTTTAAAAAAAGAAATTTGTTAATTAAAGTAATTATTATGAATAGGATATATAAACTAGTTTAAAATTCACTATTAATTTTCAACATTTTTCTTTTTTAATAAATCTGCATTTTCATCTTCATCTGCATCAAGATCATCAAGCATGGGTTTTTGAATATCAATTTCACCTTCTTAATGTTCTTATTCATTATCCTCACTTTCTTCTTTCTATTTAATTACATTTAAATTTTAACAATATGAATATCCCAAAATTAATTGAGCACAAACAATCTTTATTAATATTCTATTATAATACTCTATTTGGATAATTAAACATTTTTCTAGCCAAATCAAAAATTATTTTATTATCTCTTCTCATAAAAAAAGGTTCCATATTTTCAATAATAACAGATCTAATTTTTTCAGACTATAATTATAATTATTAAATTATATACTTCAGTATAATTAAATCTCATTGGTAATAGATAAAAATGTGTATTTAAAGGTAACATTGCTTTGACTTCTTTTTTCCATTATTCAATAATTTCTTCATAATTTCTACTTTTATAAATATGATTCCATTTAATAATTATTTAATCATCATTTTTTTATTAAACTACTTTTATTGTTCTAAATGTAGTTTTATAATCAAATATTTTCAAATATTATTCCATTTTTTTATTTATTCCATCTAAATCATCTTTCAGGCACTAAATAATAAGGCTTACCTATTTCATTCTCCACCAACTGTTCTGGTCTCAAATTCTCTAAACTTTTATCATCTTTCTCAGTTTTCTTATCTTATTAATTTTTCCTTTTATCTTTTTCTTTAGTTCTTCTATCATAATCAATTTTGATTTTAATGCTTTTGCCATCTCTTGCTGATTTGTCTTTATCTTTAGAAACACTATCAATTTCCTCTTTGTCTTTAATCAATTTCTCTTATTCTTTTTTTTTCCTTTCTACATCCTCATCCAATCTCTCTTAATCCTAACGTTTTAAGTCTTCTTTTTTTTCTTAATCTCTAAATCTCTAAAATTATCATCTTATCTCATTATAAATATAATAATTGCAAATTCATCAGTTTTCAAAAACAAAAAAACAATAATCTTTATATAAATATATTTTTCATCACAATATAATGCATAGGAAAATGAAACATTCAGGATCTATTACATTTAGAATGCATGAATCAAGTTTGATGGACTCAGCTTTAGATTCAACAACTGCAAGATAACCTCATTCCCTATGTGAAGATTCCATTGCCTTCATATTGATGGCTCAAAGTGTCAATGACCATATAAGAATTATAAGAGTATAAACATATAATTTAAATAGAGGATATAATTCAATCAACAAAAGAAACAAGAAATCGACTTCATCTAAGTATCCAAGAATTGAAGTTGAGTCTAAATAATCTTGAACATACACAATAAAGAGATATTCTCAATACTGAATATGAAATGACAGTCAATGCCAATAAATTGAAATCTGTATATTTTTATTTTAATATATCCATAAGAACTTATTTTAGCAAATTTAAGATCAACGAGAATAAAATACACAATTTGACCAATAAATATTATCTTTATAATAAGATTGTGAAGACATTGATTTATAAAGAAATATATTGGAATAGAAATTATAATACATGTGTAATAAAACAGGATAATATTAATATGTGGATTATGATAACTATATATAATGACTTTAATATTTTTTAAAAAGACTTATAAATTTAATATTGAAATTTATATTCAAAGTATTTTCATATATCCACTTAGGATCAACTTAATAAACAACATTTTATTGTTTATTATTTTGTTAAAAAATTGAAACTGTTCTTTCTATTTAATCTTTTGAAAAATTATTTAATTAAAAGTATAAACTTAAAACATAATCATGAGAAAGAATAGAAACTTAAAATATCTAAATTACCAAAAGAACTCAAATTTTAAGTAAATAAAATTATTCATAAAATAAAACATATCAATTGTAAAGATAATTTCGAATTTATGAAATTTTTCTTTTATAATTATGTAATGTTTTGAAAAATAATAGCTTTCAGAAAAATAAATAAATAAAAAAAGTAATACAAATTTAAATTATCAGATTTGATAGAACCATGAAAAATGAAAATAACATTATTATATATAATGAAGTGTATAAATACCCAATCATGTGAGAACTCCCTCAAAAAACCAATGTCTCTAAAAGATATCTTTATAGAAATAAAGATAAATGTTTTATTGATATTAATGAAATTATTTATACAATAATTTTATTAATAATTTTTGTCTGTTATACTCATGCGTTAACCATCTTTGTTTTCACCATAAAAATAAGCAAGATTTGAAAAGTCAAACAATCCAACTGGATATGCAACGTTTTAAACTACTACTTAAATGAATTCTAAATAATTGACTGATTTTAGAAAAGATCTTCGTACAAATGTATCATCCAGAGAACCTTTTACTTCATAACCAGAAAGATCTTCTTAAATATTTGCTTCATGGAGTAAAGCAGAAAGAATAGTTCTGTATTTTATTATTCTTAACGAATTAGGGAAGATTAAAAAGTTAGTAGAAGATCACCTAAAAAATAAAAAATTATGGGTGGATTAAACTATGATGAAATCTTTGCTAATAGAGGACCATAATCTAAAACAAAAAATAATAAAATAGACTAATTATTTAAAAGATCTCCACAAAAGGAATATTATGATAATTCCTTTACTTCATTTCCTAAACCATTACGATAAAATATTACTTTAGGTTCAGGCTACAAAGATTCACCTTAAAAATCTAAGGAGAAATTAGAAAGATTTAAGAATTGGGATAATAGACTTGATGTCTAATTAGTACTCTAAAACAAATCTATTTCTAATAGAGTCTCACCATAAGGTGACAAACCATTATTTTATAAATATGTTAATGAGGTTTCAAAAGGACTTTTTGATAAAAGCTCTCCTAATCTATAATTAAATTAAATACCAAAAAAGAACTTATTTGAACATAAAAAACAAGCCTTCTCTTTCAATGATACTTCTTTCAATGTGTAAAAATCTAATTCCTTTTAAAGAAATCATTCACCAGAACTTTCAAATAGGTTTGTTGAAAAGATTGCTTTAACAGACATTGTAAGAATGACATCTCATTTTCAATCATTGTCTACTTAAGAAATAGGATAAATCCCTAGAGGGTATTATTAATATTAATTTTAGTTATGTATCAGAGCTAAGTAATTTAGCTGATATTTTAATGCGAATAGTCAAGCGATCAAATAAAAATAGTTGAGAATTTGATATTTATATTACTAACCTTATAAAAATATATTCAGTTTGATAAATACTAAAATTAATTACTTTCTTGTTGAACCATATAAATCTGATTTTAAAATAAATTATTCTAATAATTTATGGGTCCTTATTAGAATGGAGTGTAAACTATGGCATTAGGAGTTTAATACATGTAATATTAAGGATCTTTGATAAAAATAAAATAAATTACAAGAGAAATTTCCAAGAAATTAAGGTTAAGGAATTTAACTATATGGGTAAGGTTCGAGAGGTAATTAAGTTTACATTACTTTAATATCATTATTTCTTTGGTTAGATTATTCTATTTTTATTTTTTGTAATTCAATCTCTTTCATTTTTTTTTCTTCTGTCATTTATTCATCTTTTTCCATTTTAGATTTTGAATCTAGACTTGTAATATCTGTTTTGGATGGAATTGAATAATATGGGTTTTTAATTTTCAAGAATTTTTATCTCAAGTAGGAGTAAAAACGATTCTTAATCATATTTTCCTAATAATTTTGGAAATATATTTACTGGCCTACCAACCAAAAGGTTTTAAATTTTAGTCCATTTAGATCCCATTTCTTAATAAGCTTATAAGATAATTTGATCTTCTTTTTCTGAGAATGGTTCAAACTTGTTTTATGGATTAAGTTTATTAATATATCGCTCTCTAATTTATTTATTAGTCCTATCAGGCAATTGTTGTGCAATTTTCCCCCAATTTTATTTGTATTTTTTAACTAATTATAATATAAGTTGATCTTCCTCCTCTGAGAAAGGTTTTCTTTTTTTTAACTAGACTTATTTAAATAATATTACTGATTATGGTTTGATTCGTTTCCATCTTTAGGTACATTATGATGGATTTCGATTAACCATTTATGCAGCAATTTAAACCCAATTTGACCCATATTATTGTATTGAACATTTTAGCAATTCATCCTCTTAAGTAGTCCAAACTTTTCTGATTTTTTTATTTATGCAAATTTTTTTTCGCTTCTACATAGTTTTTTGTTTCAAGGATATCATCTCAGTTTAATTTAAAGAGATCCTTTTATCTTAACGTTCTGCCTTGATTATTTGTATTTTGTTGTCTTTATGAAGGAGGCCTTTTTCTTTTCTCTCAAATTTCTATTCAACAGTACTCTAGGAATGTATAAGGGATTTGGCACCTTCATATCTGTCCATTAGTTATTATTATAATAAAAACTTATAACTGTTGTTATTCTAATATAATAATAATGTTATGTCATTGGGTATTATTGAGTTAAATGTGTGTAGGGTGTTTATTTATTATTGATTGTTCAGTTGGATTATTGAATAATAATTCATATTGCTGATAGTGTTTTGATTATCATATTCATCTAAATATTATCTTGTTATTAGGTTATATCAAAAATAAATATGAATATCTATTATAATCTGAACAAACAATGAGTATCTATGGATCTTGTGGAAATTTTATGAGAGATGACAAAACATACAATAATAAAAAATAGTGACAAAAGTTAATTATAAAAATAATAAGGAATATTATATTGTTTTAGAAATCATTCACTTGAGAGTATTAATATATTTTTTAATTTTATTTAAAGAGTGCAGACAATAAGATTCAAATATCTTTAAGAGATAAGTACACATAATAGTTTTAACAATTACAAATGATTATAAATTTAGAATAAACTAATTATTTGTACTATATTATTATTAATATATTGTATCCCATTGTAAGTTGAGAGTAAACTGATATTTTATATATGAGGAAGAAAATTTCAACAATAAATTTACTAGATATGTGATTAATATTGAATGTTATCAATAAATTAATCCTTTGTTAAAGAGATTTTATTTATCATTATTATATTCATTCAAATTATTTTTTGTTCTCCATTCTTCCAAGTGATCTATTTAAAAAGTTAGTTAAAATAATTTTATATAAATATATATATTTAAAATATAAAAATTATCATTATATAAATTTGCTAAGAAATTATTTAAAATCAACATCCCATAAAATGGAACAATATTAATGATAAATGATTTTTTAGATTTTTGCCATAAAAATGATGGTCGTTAAATTAACAAATTAGTTTCTTCAAGAAAGAAATGGAAGGAAGTTGAAGATGAATTATTACTTAAAGGCATAAGAAAATATGGAAATCAATGGAGTAAAATATAGGAAGAAGTACCAACTAAAGATTCAAAACAATGTTAAGCTAGATGGAAGATACTTAAAAATGTAATATGTGCTTAAAGATGTTTAAGAAAGAAGAAACTATGGATAGATTGGAAGCTTTGGGTGATTAGTCAGAGATGGAAAATCAAAATCATAAGATAAAAAAGGTCAAGATATCATAGAGNTGTCTTTATGAAGGAGGCCTTTTTCTTTTCTCTCAAATTTCTATTCAACAGTACTCTAGGAATGTATAAGGGATTTGGCACCTTCATATCTGTCCATTAGTTATTATTATAATAAAAACTTATAACTGTTGTTATTCTAATATAATAATAATGTTATGTCATTGGGTATTATTGAGTTAAATGTGTGTAGGGTGTTTATTTATTATTGATTGTTCAGTTGGATTATTGAATAATAATTCATATTGCTGATAGTGTTTTGATTATCATATTCATCTAAATATTATCTTGTTATTAGGTTATATCAAAAATAAATATGAATATCTATTATAATCTGAACAAACAATGAGTATCTATGGATCTTGTGGAAATTTTATGAGAGATGACAAAACATACAATAATAAAAAATAGTGACAAAAGTTAATTATAAAAATAATAAGGAATATTATATTGTTTTAGAAATCATTCACTTGAGAGTATTAATATATTTTTTAATTTTATTTAAAGAGTGCAGACAATAAGATTCAAATATCTTTAAGAGATAAGTACACATAATAGTTTTAACAATTACAAATGATTATAAATTTAGAATAAACTAATTATTTGTACTATATTATTATTAATATATTGTATCCCATTGTAAGTTGAGAGTAAACTGATATTTTATATATGAGGAAGAAAATTTCAACAATAAATTTACTAGATATGTGATTAATATTGAATGTTATCAATAAATTAATCCTTTGTTAAAGAGATTTTATTTATCATTATTATATTCATTCAAATTATTTTTTGTTCTCCATTCTTCCAAGTGATCTATTTAAAAAGTTAGTTAAAATAATTTTATATAAATATATATATTTAAAATATAAAAATTATCATTATATAAATTTGCTAAGAAATTATTTAAAATCAACATCCCATAAAATGGAACAATATTAATGATAAATGATTTTTTAGATTTTTGCCATAAAAATGATGGTCGTTAAATTAACAAATTAGTTTCTTCAAGAAAGAAATGGAAGGAAGTTGAAGATGAATTATTACTTAAAGGCATAAGAAAATATGGAAATCAATGGAGTAAAATATAGGAAGAAGTACCAACTAAAGATTCAAAACAATGTTAAGCTAGATGGAAGATACTTAAAAATGTAATATGTGCTTAAAGATGTTTAAGAAAGAAGAAACTATGGATAGATTGGAAGCTTTGGGTGATTAGTCAGAGATGGAAAATCAAAATCATAAGATAAAAAAGGTCAAGATATCATAGAGAGAAATACCTCGTAGATACAATCCACATTTTGATTATAATGAAGAATCCTCTAGTGAATCCATGCATCTATAATAATTCTAAAAAGCTTTGATTAAGTAACCTAATTAGTTGTCATTATTATAATAACAACATAAAAAAGAGTAAATCCAGAAGTAGGCCTAAAGTTAATATTAAAATGTGTGGAATGCTATGGATGATAAAATGTTATGGGCAGCCTTTAAAATATATAAAGGAGTTTGGAAACAAATAACATCTCGATTTTAAGAGAAAAATCCATAGAGTTGCATGGAGAGATATTAATTTGTTAGTTTATAAATTATTAATGTAGTTACTTTAATAAAAAAGAATGAAATTGTAAGAAGATGGATCATCTGTAGATATTATTTCATCTATAACTGAAGAAAGTTCCAAATTAGGTTCAGAGTAATTCGATTTAACTATAAGTGAAGGTGCATTTTCTACTGATTTGCAACAAACTGAATATAAGATAATTTCTATTGGAGTTTATACTGTTTAATAGTGTCATACAAATATTGAAAGAATTCTTAAATCATTTTCCAATCATAATTTAGATACAATACCTGGAATACGTGAGACTATTGTGAAACTCATATTAACAGATTGATTATTTTTAATATATATCTCATCTGAAATACATTAAACTTCTGGCCTTTAAACCTTCAACTTCTGAAACATCCTCTTCTTATTTAACCCAATAATCAACAAACAATTATTTTTAGGCAGCATTATTAACATCAACTTTAATGAATTCATGATAATCATAAGCAATATGATCTTTCTAATTTTTATATATTATTTATTATTTACCCATTCTTTTGGAACTTCAGTTCCTCTCCAAAGCCATGCTCCTCTTAATTAAAGATTTGGTTCATCACCATATACTCCATGAATGGCAAATGCATATTTTCTGAAATTTTAATCTAATCTTTAATTAATAAATCCCTTCATTAAATTGTTAGTTAGAATCAATTACTTTCCTTCATTTTCTGATTTATTATATCTAACCAACCATAAAGACCATCCATTCAAATCAATTGTTGCAAAAAGTGTTTCAATATTTTTTTAAATATCTTTTTCTGCAAAGAAAATTCTCTTATAATCATCAATATTAAAAGTTGAAGGTGGTAATAAATCAAGTGGATTTGCTTCTTTCTTTTTAGGTGCTTCATCATCCTCTTCTTATTTAGGTTATTCTTTCTATTTTGGTTATTCTTTTTATTTAGGTTATTCTTTTTGTTCTTTTTATTTTGGTTATTCCTATTTTTTCTCCTTCTTTTCCTTTTTCTCCTCTGTTACTTCACTCAATATAAATGTATTCTTTGGGAATCTTGGTCTACCAAATTCCTATTTGATATATAATAATATAATTACTGCTTTCCATTCAGGAAGTGAATTAATTTCATTCAACCATTTTAATACATTCTAATATTTATTTCTTTATGGTTCTCCAAACAAAAGAGTAAATGCAAATGTAACAACTTATGCCAATGCTATATCAGCAACTGTTAATGAATCTCCAGTTATATATTTAGATTTTCCTAATTAAGTATTTACAATAGTTAATGTATGATTAATTTAACCTAAAGATGTCTTATATTATTCAGGTAACACTGGTATATGACCCAATACTTATATAGCAGCTGCTACAACATCTGTTTCTAATTCATTTGTTGTTACATCTAACCATTAATCAACTAAACCCTATTAATAGAGTGTTTTTCTAGATTTAATTATATTTAGATACCCATATAATCCTTATGAATGTCTAGCAATGTGTCTAAGAATAGCATTGCTTTCAAAAAGATTACCCTCTTATGTTTCTAAGACTGGCACCTTTCCAAATGGAAATTTGTTTTAAAATACTTAGAAATTCTTCTCACTCAATTATGTATCAACAAATTCCAATTACAAATTAGCCAATTTAGCTGCTACCAATATTTTATGTGTTCTTCCTTAACCAGATGGTGAATGTAATTTTATAGACATGAATTAAAGATTTAATTTAATTTTACTTTTTTAAACATCACATTCATTAATATTTTTATTACAAATAAAATCAATTCTTCCCCCAAAATTTACCAAACATTCCTCTATATGTTGTTTTTAAAGCCTTTGACTAATCTAATTACTATTTATTTTACATCATATTAATAATAATAATGAATTATTGCTAATATTATTGCAAATACAAAAACATCTCCTTTAGGAATATTGTTTATCCAACCCTTTCTCTTCAATAGATTCAAAATAGTTTCAAAATAACGAGGTACTATACTCAACATTATTTCTTAAGCTCTTTTAATATATCAACACTTTCTTACCTACTTTTTGATTCTAATAACAAAGAAAAAGCTCCTATAAAACCACCAGATATTGGAATTAATGGATCAACAGTATTGCGAAATCTTACTTATTTACACCAATTATATCTCATTGCTTACACCATTAAAGTTAAAAATAACACACTCTTAATATATGAAAATAATGATCTAATTGTTGTACTAATTGGACTTAAAAAGTTTAAGAAAATTATACTTTTTCAAAAAAGCTTTTCTCTTATAAATCAGGAAAGGCAACAAATGAACAGGTAAATAGACTTTTGCATTCTAAGAGAATAAGATCGGAAACCTTGTTATAATAAGTGATTATACATGTGAAGTATTTGGGTTTCACACGTAAATCCTGGATGAAAATACTCACATTTATAAGGTAATCCTCAATCTAAAAACATGTTGAATTTACCTTAAATATAATTAAGTTGTTCCTCAACAGGAAAAGAGTAAATATCATTCATATTTTGTATAAAATTAAAATAATCATAATGATTTAATTATTCATTAAATTGTTTGTAATAATGCATCATAATAGTAATTTATTAAATTGAAAAACCTCAATATTTTCTCATCTAAGAAATTTTCACTTTCCTATTCATTTAATTATGTACAATTGAAACTCAAAGCTTCTTTCTTGAATTTATTGTTACCAGTAAAATTTTTCAATCTTTAAATGACCAAAATTTAGTATCAACGCTAGTAAATCTGGTGATTTGTAGTATGATATTTCAGTTTTTATTTTCATAGTAATTTTCTGATTCCTTGCTTCTTTAGTTGAGGATATGATATTAAAATAAAGTACTTAATCCAATACTACTTACTTTAATTAGGGAATATTCAGGATTTGTTAAGAATAAAAAATTATAAAGTTTTAGACTATGCTTTCATTTTAACTATAACCAATCACTTTCATTAGATTGATACAATTATAATTTATTATTTCAATAAATTAGATTTTATTAAAAAATATACTTAACATTAATTTATTTATAAATCATGATTCATATTTTATTTATTATTGTTTATACTATTTATTTTAAGCGAAAATGCTTAAATATATATATATATTTATATCATTCTTCATTTTTAGGATCATCATGTTTTTTATAATATTCATTGACTTGATGATCTTATTTATTTTCTAATTCTAATGGACCAATGTCATCAATAAGAGCTTCTTCATTTTAAATAATTTATGCAACTATTCCTTAGAATCATGAAATACCTTATTCTGGTTTGGTTTGTGGATCAGAAATGATTTCTTCTATTTATTCATCTATTAATTCTTATTCTTCCGCACTTGATTTATGTCTTATAATTAAATAGAATAATATACTTAGATTCTAAATTATCTATTTTATTTTCTTTTAATTGGATCTATTTTAATTCTTCTAATTATTATAATCGTCCTTCCTCATTACAATCATAGAATTTTTCTTCTTATTCTTCTTCTTCTTATTCTTATTCTTATTCTTATCCATCAATTTCATTTTCTTTATTATTATCATCTTCAGGGATATCTTCTTCTTCTACTTCTTCTTCTTAATGATCATTTTCTTTAGGTTATTCAATTGTAATTGATTCCTATATAAATTATGGCATCTATCTTGGTTTTGGATCAACGCCACATAATAATGATTTTTCTACTGAATTAATTTTATTAAGAGTATCATTAACATATTGATCCCAAATTTAATTTGTGTAATGATTATCCACTAATAAATTAGATACCTTTGTTAATATTCCTTAATATCCTGGTTTAATAGTATTCATAAGAGATCCAACTTCTTTTTTCTCATTTTTATTATATTAAATAATGATTTAAGCCAAGAAGTCTGATATTGAGTTGTACATCTAAGGTAATTTTTGAAATATAAAGATAACTATCTTATCAAACCAAATTAGTGCTTGATTATTGAATTCATGTGTTAATATTACATTTGTAATAACTTAAAAGGATTGATTATTTATCAATTCATTTAATATCTCTTCTTTCTCACTTAGTAAAAGTAAATAAAAGATTTAAAGTAATGTGAGTTTATTAGACGATAATGGAATGATAATTTAACCATAAGTAGTTAGATGAGGTATAGCATATAAATTAGAATTGGTAAATGCATTAGGCAGATGTTTAGCCACATCCATAAAGTATAGAAAGTAATCTGTTTTGCCTGAATTATTAATATATTACAATAGATTGGATACTAATTCATAGGCTGCAGTTCTCTGACTTTAGTACTATAATAATAATCAACTTATATTTACACAAATTGTGAGAAAGTAATATGGATTCAATAGACATTTGATTAATTCTTCTTAATCTGGATTGATTTAACTCTTTATTACATTATTGATAATAAGTAAGCAATTGTCAAAAACCTAATATAATTAATATATATATACCTCTGTTTCATAATAACGATGCTATGAGATCTTCATTACTCTCTGTAATATGGATTTCTATTTTTCAAGTAACTGATTTTCATCATTAGGATCTGGTATGATAATTTTTTCAATTATTTCAGCAATATGGAGTATGTCAATATGTTTAAGTAGATTAGAGATATCCTTTTCATTTAAATATTACAACATCTTAATTTATATTGAATGCAATACTTTGAAATGTTTCTTTCTTAATAAAGTGAGGATAACTTTAGAGAAGTAACCTGCTTATGTTATGTTAAGAATATCCTCATTTAGTAATGAAAATAGTCTATTCAAATGATGGAGATTATGCACTTCAAAAAGGAAATCTTAAAAGAAATCATTTTCTTTACTCAAGATCTCACTTGCTAAAAAGGGATATCTATTTTATTCTTGAATAAACTCATACTTATATTATATTCTTTAATAATTAGTTTCATCTCCAACTTCAATAATGTATTCAATGAGTGTCTCTAAATGCTCTGGATGGTCCTTGACGCTATGAATCATGTCCATGATTACTAATTAAGCAATTTGTATTGTTATTAAGGCATCGAAAGATCTTACAACAGCAACGATTCATCCAATATTAATTTGATGTCTCTCTTCTCCTCAATGAATTCATCCATCCGTGAATTCATAAAGTTAAACATTCTGAAAATCATGATTAAATTAAATTAATATTTTTAATGTAAAATAGCTAGCTCTCTCATTATTCCCTAATAACAACAAAGTAATCATATTAACTTAACCTTTCAACACTTTCTAATTAATAAATCTT